TTGAAAGAACGAATGGGTAGACAAGACGAGGACAGGAGTGAGGTGCGGTCGCCGCGAAACTTACCAGGTTGTTTGGGCACCACTTCCCCCTCCTTGATCTGACCCATCTCCATTGGAGGGAACGAGTAGACACCAGAGCAGAGTGCCTGACCTAACTTGCTCATCTGCAAGCCGAAAGACTCCACAGCAGCAGTTGCACTTCCAGTGCGTGCTACGGTGTCCATTGCCGTTTCGACAAAACTAGGTAAGGCGAGAGCATAGCGTCTGCGAAAAGCCTCCGTCGCAAAAAGAACCTGCGTCGAGGGACAGTCAAGGATCAAACATGTACATTCTCCGTTATTAAAATCAAAGCATCTTCAACCCTTCTCACCACTAAAACAGAACATGAACTTAAGAAAATTTGAGCACTAACGCTAGTTGAATACGTTCTTCACCTGTATAGCCGAGTTAATATAACAAGTGTTGCCGAGGTTAACTAGTCCGGTGAGACTTGGTCCATAAAGAGGAGTGAGCTTGCGATCAGCCTCCTGCAGGGTGAGCCATTCGCCTAGTCGCTCGTTGGCTTCCACCTCCATCTCCATCACAGTGCGATCGGTCTTGCGCTGACACTGCATGTCAATACCAAAGTGAGCTAGATGCTGAGCCAACAATGGGTCAGTCACCATGTCGTCCTCCGCGTAAGAGAAGACTTCGGCGCTCTGAAATCGAGGAATTGGTGAAGTCCAATTAGAACCTGTCCGTCCATTGATTGCCATTGCTGCACAGTCGAGCTTTCAACTAAATAGCCACTAAATTACCCGAAAACCACCCAGATCTCAATTCAAATGTTATCATTTGTGAACCCATTCATTAGTCGATCATATCCTCTAGCTAAACGTCATCTATGAAACTCAGCTATCAGCAAATATCCCAGAACATAGTCGCCACCGTGCCCATGTCAAAAGAACAAAACACTTCGCAAGCATACGTGCATATAGGCTAAATTCTTAAATCATCTTCAAACGAATTTATCCCTTCGTCCAAATACACAGGAACCTCCAAAGCATCAATTCGTCCAAAGTCATATCATACGCCTAAGCCCACAACTATTCCTCATAGACCTGTAGCTTTGCTCAATCGCATTATCGGCTGAGCCGAATCCAACTCCTTGACGTGTAGTATTTGCGACATTGTTAAGCATCATCAAGGCACAGAGAAAAACTAAAAACAGCGGAAGAGTTAAAAAACAACGCAAGCAACTCACATTGGGTGTGATTGTACCCAATTTCACAGCTAAGGGATACTTGGTGCGCTCGTAGTGTTCAATGGCGTGATTATTGCCGCCTGAACCATCCCAGAACCTTCGACCACAGGAAATCGTTCCGTCGGTAAGATTCATCCACAAGTTCGTTGTCAGCTCGCACTTGTGACACTTGAGACCACTGAAGTGACACCCACACAAAGTGTTTTTATCAGCAGTAGAAAAAATGGTTTCTTCTGAGCCCTTGACAAATGAGTCACGCATTTGCGAGAAGCAAGACAATACGCTAATCGATAGCATGGAGCAATTAATTCGGTTCTCTATTGCTCTCAAGCTATCCCCTTACACACATTAAGTGCTGATTAGAGGAAACTCATGCAACGGTAGTCTAACAGGTTCCCAAATTTAAGCTTGGCTTCCAACCCACAATAAGGATGTCCTTCGTATTTTATTTTTAGAGGAAATGAAATTACCACAATTCGCCACCTAGAAAAACCCGACGCTAAACGTAAAAGGCGGTTGCCAGTGTAGAGACCAGAATCAAAGTGGGAATCAAAAGAAAATACACACCTGGGTGGAACAGTGACTCCATTGTTCAGCTGAATTAAACTTTGAGCGAATTTCGAAACTGGGCGAACATTTTCGGCCTCCCAAGCGGCAGCTGCAGAAGCGCGCTCAGCCATGAGAATGGCCGAGTCGCAACGCTGAATGGCATTAATGCAGGACATGAGTTTGGTGGATAGACCCAGACCCTCCAGATGTGACACATCTGCAACTGCGGAATTCTCCAATGGACAAGGAATATCCAGTGAGTGTCCTCCAGGGAAACGACGAAGACACCACTTCTCGATGACGGTGAATTTGTCCTGGGGAAGTTCAAAACCACCTGGCACGCCTATCGCGAGCTTTTTAGGCCTATCGTGTTCAACTCCATCCTCAATATCTGAACAATTCATAAATCAAACACAAATTAATAAGGTTTTCAAAATAATGTGAAATTATCACCAATCTCCAATAAAGATCACAAAGCGCTAATGCACTGCAATAGACCCCAAACTTGCCTTTAACTTTA